AGTATTCTTGGCTGCATATTTTTCTCATTTAGTGCTCTGAATATATCCTGCCAGTCCTTTCTGGCCTGCCAGGTCTCTGTGGATAGGTCTGTTGCCAATCTAATATTTCTACCATTGTAGGTTACATATCTCTTCTCCCGAGCTGCTTTCAGGATTTTCTCTTTGTCTATGAGACTCGTAAGTTTTACTATTAGATGTCGGGGAGTTGACCTATTTTTATTGATTTTGAGAGGGGTTCTCTGTGCTTCCTGGATTTTCATGCCTGTTTCTTTCCCCAAATTAGGTAAGTTCTCTGCTATAATTTGCTCCATTATACCTTCTGGCCCTCTCTCTCTTTCTTCTTCTTCTGGGATCCCAATTATTCTAATGTTGTTTCGTCTTATGGTATCGCTTATCTCTCGAATTCTGCCCTCGTGATCCAGTAGTTGTTTATCTCTCTTTTTCTCAGCTTCTTTATTTTCCATCATTTCATCTTCTATATTACTGATTCTCTCTTCTGCCTCATTTATTCTAGCAGTTAGCGCCCCCATTTTTGATTGCACCTCTTTAATAGCCTTTTTAATTTCTACTTGGTTGGATTTTAGCTCTTTTACTTCTCCAGAAAGCGTTTCTCTAATAACGTCCATATTTTTTTCAAGTCCAGCTAGTATCTTTAAAGTGATGATTCTGAACTCTAGATCTGACATCGTACTAATGTCCGTATTGAGTAGGTCCCTGGCAGTCGGTACTACCTCTTGTTCTTTTTGTTGCAGTGATTTTTTCCGTCTTGTCATTTTGTGCAGAGGAGAATAGATTAATGAGAGAACAAAATGCTAGCAGAATAACCACGTCCCCAGAAAATATACTCTAAACAAATCAGAAAAGACCTAAAGCAGTGGGATAAGAAAGGGAAAGAGAGAAAAAAGAAAAAGAAAAAAAAAAGATAAAGATAAAAACAAAAACAAACAAAACAAAACAACAACAACAAAAGGAAAACCAGAATATGATCAAATATGATCTATATGGTATATAGATCAGTGCCACACACCAGATTTGGTGTGTATTTTGGTCTTTTAGAAGAAAGTGCCTCCCAAAATTTTAAAGAAAGAAAAACTTATATATGTACAAAAATAAGGGTTGATAGGATGAAGGGATGGAATATGACTGTAAAAATGGAAATTATAAAAAAATGTTATAAAAGGAATTGATAAGAAGTTGTTTGAAAAAAGAAAGAAGAGGATTTAAAAAAAGAAAAAAAGAAAAAGAGAAAAAAAAAAAAAAGAGGATGTGATCAGGCAGGGGAATAGAAAGCACCGTATACTAGAGATTTAGGGTATATTTTAATCTGTTAGAAGAAACTATCTCAAAATTTTAAAGAGAGAACAACTTATATATATAAGCCAAAAATATGGGTAACTACTATGAAGGGATAGAATATGACTCTAAAAATGAAAAATAATTTTTTTTAAAAGGGATTGATAAGATGTTGGTTGAAAAATGGAAAAAGAAAATTTCAAAAAGAAATAAAAAGACAAAAAGACAGTTAAAAAAAATTGACTTTAAAAGACTAAAGAATCATGGTAAAAAAGCCGTGAATTCTATGTGCAGTAGTCCCCTAGCGCCGGAGTTCTGCCGTTCTCATTGATCAGTAAACTTGGTCTTGGCTCGCTGTTCTCGCTGATCTTCTGGGGAGGGGCCTGTTGCCGTGGTTCCCAAATGTCTCTGCCGGAGGCGGAATTGCCCCGCCCTTGCCCCCTCCCAGCTAAGTAATCTGCTCGGGTTTGCTCTCCGGGGCTTTTGTTCCCTGCGAGCTTTCTGTACAGTTTTGGAGGCGGAGAGTGAAAATGGCGGCCTCCCAATCTCCGCCCCAGAGAAGCCGAGAACTCAGGGCCCCGTTCCTCAGTGAGCCCCCAGAGAAAAGCTGTCAGTCACTCCTGTCTCCCTGGTCTCCAGCCGCACTCCGTGCTCGCCCGGCCTGTGACCGCGTTTCTCTCTCTGGCACCCGACCCCGGGTGGAGTCTCTAAACCCAGCAGATCTCTGCAGTGCGCTCCCGCGCGGCTCCTCCCCGGGGAGGAAGGTGAGTCTCCCCGGATCTGCCGCTTGTTGGGTCCCTGCTGGAGGAGCAGGGGCCCGACTGTGCCGCGGATCATGGTCAATGGCAACCCCGAGCTGAGAGCCCGCGCCTGGGCTCCGCCTCTGCAGCCGGCTTCCCTGCTCCGATCCCTGGGAGCTCTGCTGCACTCAGGCACCCCCGGTCTTTCTGTGACCCCGAGGGTCCTGAGACCACACTGTCCCGGGGGTTCCACCCCCCGCTTAGCCACCAGAGTGACGTCCCTCAGCGGAGCAGACTTTTAAAAGTTCCGATTTTGTGCTCCGTGGTTCTATCACTTGCCAGAAGCAGCCGACAGAGGCCCCTCCCCTGCCGCCTATCCTCCCGAATATCGCCGCGGATTCACTTCTCCGCATGTCCTACCTTCCAGAAAGTGGTCGCTTTTCTGTTCAGAGAGTTGTTGCTCTTCCTTTCTTCGATCTCCTGTTGGGTTTGTAGGTGTTCAGAATGGTTTGGTCCCTATCCAGCTGAATTCCTGAGAGGAGACGAAATCCAGGTCTCCTACTCCTCCGCCATCTTGCTCCGTCACCTCGCTGATTCTTGCAATGAGCCAGAAGAGCTGCAGAGAACCCCTGAGGTCCCCAGTGATGTCCACAGGGGACCCCGGAGGCTGTTAGGAGCCAGTCTCTGAGAGGATTTCTGAGGCCTCGGGGCTGTATATTGGGAAGAGGTCCCTGGGGCCTTCCTGAGCTCCACTAGGAGAGAATCCCGGGAGACTGCCTGAGGCTGTGTCAGGAGGGAGTCCCTGCGGATCCACTGAAACCTTATTGGAAGATCTCTGGAGATTCCCTGAGGTCATGTAAGGACAGGATCCCGGAAGAGCTCATCAGGCTATGCAACTAAGGAGCGCTGAGGATCTAGTGAGGGTATGTCAGCTGGGGATCACCAAGGATCCATTAAGATCACACCAAAGAGAAGATTCCTGGAGTTTCTATGGTGACAAAAGGGGGTCCCTGGAGAGTTCCCATGGTTGTCATTCATCCAACACACACTTGCAGAGGCAGAAGACCTCGGCCCCACTGAGCAGGATCTCACAAGCTACCTGTGGACACAGAGATCATAAAAACAGTCAGGTAAGTGTTGCAGGGTGGGCGCAAGGACCTGTGGAAAGGGCATAAAATTCGGTGTCCGCGAGGTGAGCGAGCCATTCTGCTCTTCCGGGAGGGGCGGCCTTTGGGGGTGGTGGGCATACGGCTGCCGTACTGCATGTAAAGAACCCGGCGCAGACCTTGCGTGGGGCAAGAACTCCATCAGTGCTACCCATCAGTAAGCGAGGGGCACGGGCAAACGTACACATGCAGCCCAATTCTTGTCTCACGAGAGAACTGGCGGAGGTGCGTCCACGGACTCCCGAAGTTAGACTGTCCTGCAGTCGGGAAAGGCCAGGACCTGGCTTCTCGGTCCGGGTCCGCGACCAAGAGAAATCCAGCGCCAGTCACGCACGTCACCCCACATCTTCGTTGGCTACGTCGAGTTAAAAGAAGCAAACATCAAAACACCGAAACATAACTTCAGCAGCTGTCATTTCACCACGTAACCAACGCAGACTCGCTCTTTTCAAAGATTTCACTCACTCGAGCGAGCTGTCGAGCGAGCGAGGGCACCAGCCGGGAAGGGGCAGGCGGAGGGGGAAGCAGAGTCTCCCCGCCGAGCGGGGGGCCCGATGCGGGGCTCGAGCCCAGGGCCCTGGGGTCACGACCCGAGTCCAAGGCAGACGGCGGGCCGACGGAGCCGCCCGGCGCCCCACCCGTGTAGACGGACTCTCCCTCCGCTCCGCTTCGTGCCGACTCTTTGAAAACCCTGCCGGGGGCTTCCTGCGCCGGGTTCCGCGACCCCCAGGCGCCCCCCCCCCCCGCTCCGCCGACCCCGCTGCCCCTCGCTGCCTCCGCGCGCCCCGGGCCCTCCCGCCGCCTCGCCCGGCGGCAGAGCACAGAGCCGGACGGGGGCCCCAGCCAGCCGCCACCACACGGACCCCCGCCGCCCGCACCGCAGCCGCCACACCCGGTCCCCGGCGTCGCCCTTCAATGCCGTCACGCACGCGCCTTGCGTCCGGCGCGCCTGGGCGGAGGCGGGATTTCCGGGCGCGCGGAGGTGGGACTTCCGGGAGCAGGCGGAAGAGCCTCTGGGCTATGGGGTCATGACCCGAGTCCAAGGCAGACGGCGGGCCGACAGAGCGGCCCGGCGCCCCACCAGTGTAGACTGACTCTCTCCGCTCCGTTTCGTGCCGACTCTTCGAAAACCCTGCCGGGGGCTTCCTGCGCCGGGTTCCGCGACCCCCAGGCGCCCCCGCCCCCCCCCACCCCCCGCCGACCCCGCTGCCCCTCGCTGCCTCCGCGTGCCCCGGACCCTCCCGCCGCCTCGCCCGGCGGCAGAGCACAGAGCCGGACGGGGGCCCCAGCCAGCCGCCGACACACGGACCCCCGCCGCCCGCACCGCAGCCGCCACACCCCCTCCCCGGCGTTGCCCTTGAATGCCGTCACGCCCGCGCCTTGCGTCGGCGCGCCTGGGCGGAGGCGTGACTTCCGGGCGCGCGGAGGCGGGACTTCCGGGAGCAGGCGGAAGAGCCTCTGGGCTCTGGGGTCACGACCCGAGTCCAAGGCAGACGGCGGGCCGACGGAGCCGCCCGGCGCCCCACCAGTGTAGACGGACTCTCCCTCCGCTCCGCTTCGTGCCGACTCTTTAAAAACCCTGCCGGGGGCTTCCTGCGCCGGGTTCCGCGACCCCCAGGCGCCCCCCCCCCCCCCCCCCCGCTCCGCTGACCCCGCTGCCCCTCGCTGCCTCCGCGCGCCCCGGACCCTCCCGCCGCCTCGCCCGGCAGCAGAGCACAGAGTCGGACTGGGGCCCCAGCCATCCGCCGACACACGGACCCCCGCCGCCCGCACCGCAGCCGCCACACCCCTCCCTGGCGTCGCCCCTTAATGCCGTCACCCGCGCGCCTTGCGTCCGGCGCGCCTGGGTGGAGGCGGGACTTCCGGGCGCGCGGAGGCGGGACTTCCGGGAGCAGGCGGAAGAGCCTCTGGGCGCTGGGCTCGGGCGTCCGGGGGCCGCTGAGGGGCCGCTCGGGGTGCAGGAAAGGGCCACCGGGCCTGGCCGGCCCCGCTCGAGGTGTCGGGCCGCGGGCCTGAGGGAGGAGGAGGGGCCGTGGCCGGCGACGGGGCCCGGAAGTGGTTCTGGAGGCGCAGCAACGGCGAAGTCCCGGGCAGGTGGGTGTTACGGGGAGGCCGGTCGGGGTCAGGGCTCAGAGGTCGGGCGGGCGCGTGGGCCCGCGGGGCTGCGGGTGGAGTCGGGGGTCTGGGGAGGGCTGCTGGGGACGAGAGGGACGTTGGGGGGCCGGGGGCTCGAGCGCAGGGTCTGGGCGGTGACGGGGGCTGCGCGCAGACCGAGGCTTGAAGGGAGGAGGAGCAGCTGGTCGCGAGGCTTTCCGAGGCCGCAGGCTCTCCTCGGTGACACTCCTCGGCAGGCTCTCCTCGGTGACACTCCTCGGCAGGCTCTCCTCGGTGACACTCCTGCGCGCCCTGGGAAGCCCAAGGGGACCGACTCGGGTCGCGCTGCGAAGGGTTCGGGGAGTGCGGACCTGGCCCGCTGGCCGCGCGGGCTGCGCTGGCCGAGCGATCGCCTCTCCGGGGGGCGCGGCGGTGGGACCCACTTGAATGGCCTTCTTGTCCCTCCCGCGCTCGGCTGCGCTTGGCCTCGAGCTCGAGGACTCGCTCCGGTGGATTTGAGCCTCCCTGTGAATTTCCACGTACCCCACCTTCCGGCCGCAAAACCAACTCCTTTCTTGAGTCCGCAGCAGGAAGCGAATTAAGAAAAAGAAATTAAAGAAAAAATGAAGTGCGTGCAATGACCCGGGTGCACCCTGGAAGCTGTTCGGCTCCAAAGTCCTGATCAGCGTGCGGCTGATCCCCGGCCCGCGCCCCGGGGAAGGTGAAGACAGTGCGTGGACAGTGCCTGGCGAACTTAGATTAGAGAGAAACGGATGTCAAGGTTTCTTTTTCTTTTTTAAAGATTTTATTTATTTATTTGAGAGAGAAAGAGAGAGAGCATGAGGGGGGGAGGGTCAGAGGGAGAAGCAGACTCCCTGCCGAGCAGGGAGCCCGATGCGGGACTCGATCCCAGGACTCCAGGATCATGACCTGAGCCGAAGGCAGTCGCTTAACTGACTGAGCCACCCAGGCGCCCTGCCATCATCTTTTAAATTATGGAGTCTTACCAGAAAAACTGTGTCACTGGTGTATCTCTAGTAGGTGATTTGGCCAGGGTCTCACACTGCACGAGAGGTGGTCTTGCCAGTAGCCCCCCCTCCTCTATTCACGCTGGTCCTTAGGTTGTCTATTTGGCTGGGGCTTTCTTAGAAACTTCTGGATGAAGCAGGATGTGTGATGTGGTGGAAGCACCTCTGACTTGGTTCTGTGGTCTGGGTTTCAGCCTTTTTTTTTCTATTAAACTCTGTGTGACTTTCACCAGGTCATGTCACCCCTGGGGCCATCAGTTTCTGCCAGTGTAACCTGCTGAAGCTGGATGAGACCTAAGTGGCTGAGATCTCCAGGCACATATTTGTTCGGTCTGGTCCGATTCTCTTTGATGAGCACGAGAGAGGGCCTCTTGGAGGAGCTTTGAGAGTTTGAAAATTCATTCATTCAGTAGATATTTGTTTAAGCAACTCTTGGTGCCAATAACAGTTCCAGGGGCTAGAGATACACCAGTGAACAAAACAGATCAGAACCAGTGCTGTCTCAGAGCTTACAGCGGAGCTGGAGGGGCAGAGAATAGAGACCATGACTAAGTTAAGAAGAGAGTTACCCCCGAGAAGGTGGGAACTGTTATCCTGTTATTGAAACCTCAAGCAGAGAATTGGGATTGGGAGGCGTGTGGATTGGGGAGGGTTTCCCGGTGATAAGGTGGCCAGAGAAGGTCTCACAGAGGAGGTAACATTTGAGCAGGACTCACAGGAGGGGAGCGAACAGGCCCCCTGGGTGGCTGGGAGGACAGTGGTCTGGGCAGAGGGCCAGTGGAAAGTCCCCGGTTGGGAGCGACAGCGGTGTGCTCGAGAAGAGCGGGGGGCCTGGTGACTGGAGCCAAGGGAGGAGGGGGAGAGTCCTGGGGCATGAGGTCCGGAAGCTGGTGGGGCGGGCCTTGTGGTCACAGTGGAAAGACGTGGGCTTTCGGTCTCTTATTCTGATGGGGGAGCGCTTTGGATGGTCTTGGCAGAGGTGAGGCAGGATCCCTTTGGCCTCTGGGTGGATGGCAGGTTAGGGGCTGGGAGGGAAGGACGGACGCAGGGAGACCAGTTCGGAGGCTGTGGTGAACGTCCCGGTGAGAGAGGACGGTGGTGCTGCAAGAATCAGAGGGCGGGTGGTGGGGATCAGGACGCGTTCAGTCTGTGACTCTCTGGGGCTGGTTCTCTCTTGGGCCAGTGACCCACTTGGCTCCGAGGGGCGGCTGCCCTCTGCAGTTGTGGGTGGCACTCTTGCCACACTCAGCTGTCAGTGGCAGGACGAAGTCACCGCCCACCGCGGTGCGAGCGCAGGCGGCCCTCCGGCGTGGGTCCGCCGGGGCCGCGAGCGCTGTGCACAGGAGGCCGTTCGGGCGGTGGGGCCTGTGGAGGGCGACCTTTGTGAGCGGGATGGAGGCAGGAAGGGCCCAGATTGAATCGGCAAGGCTGTGGGTGCTTGGGGTGGAGCTGGAGGAGAAGACAGCTCACGGTGTTGTGGCTCCGACAGCTTTCAGCTTCCAGCGGTCACAGCCCGAGGAGTCTCCGAGCCGGTGAGACATGAGCTCCACCGTCATTGTAACAGGCCGCCATCACTCATCAGCTGAGGGGAGGACTTGTTGGGGGGACAGTTCATTCGTTCAGAACGTATTCTGTGTGCCAGGTCCCGTGCTGAATGCTGAGCCAAGAGATGTGGCTCTCAGAGGCTGCTGGGGTGAGGGAGACGGTAAGCACATTGGTATGTTCTTCGAAGGTCATCATCTGGGGGCGTTGGCAGAAGCACAGGACCCTGCGTCAATGGAAGGCCATGCCTTTCCAGAAGAGGTCATGCCTGACCTGAGACCTGTAGGTGGAGAGGGAGCCAGCCCACAGAGATGCACAGATGCGGAGATGCGGGGTGGGCGTCAGAGCACTCCTGGCAGGGGAAGGGTGCTGCGGGGACCCTGGGGCTGGGGAGGAGGACGGCAGGAGGGGAGCCTTGTGAGAAGAGGGGTGGGAGGCGGGCAGGGCTCGGAAGGCCATAGAAAAGGGCCGCCACGAAGCACTGAAGGGTGGCGATCACCAGGTTTCTGGCCGGAGGGATGGGGCGTGGTTGCAGAATGATGAACCCCAAAGATGTCTGCATCCTTATCCCTGGAACCTGGAACCAGACCACATGGCCAAAGAGTGGAAGGTGCAGATCTGCTGACCCTGAGGTGGTACCTTTTCCTGGGTGGCCTGGTGGGTCCAGTAGAATGGAGTGAGCGCTTAAAAGTGGTCAGAATCAACAGCAGATGAACGCTTGTCTTGTCGCTGGCTCTGAAAGTGGAGGCGGGGGCCATGAGCCGGGGGGTGCGGTGGCCTCCAGCATTTGGAGTGGCCTTCTGCTTGCAGCCGGCGGGAACCTCGGTCCTACAACCGCAGGAAACTGGATTCTGCCAACAGCCTGCATGAGCAGGACGTGGACTCTCCCCAGAGCGTCCAGAAATGAGTGCAGTGGCCAACACCTACACTTTAGTCCCGTGAGAACTGCCTTGGACTCTGACCTCCAGACTTTAAGATAATAAGTGTGTTTCAGGCTGTGTGTGGAGGACCGTTAGAGCAGCCACAGAAAAACCCTGAGGTGGGAGGAGGAAGGTTGGAGGAATGTGCGGGAGGGATGTTGGATGGGAAGGGTTGTGCACCTGACCCTGCAGAGTCTTGCCCTTGAATGTGGACAGGGCACCTGCTTCCGTCTTCCCGGGTGGGCTGGCCCCTCACCGCCCACCTCTGCAAAGTGCATTTAGTCCCGAAGGACTGGAACAGCACTGGGAGGGCTCTTCCTCCTGTCTCCTTGGGTCCAGGAACCAGGTGGAGGCCCTGCCTCTTTTTCCGGAAGCTCGGATCTGCTGCCCTGACCAGCTTGCTCTTGCGTTTTCAGAAACCTGTTTGTTTCCTTGCTTGTATTTTTGAAGTGGCTGTTTGGACGGAGTGCCTGTTTATTCCTCTCTTCCCGTGTTGCGAGGAGCCCGGGAGTCTCTCGGGTGGGTCTTTGTGTCCTGTGCGAGCGGGTCTCTCTGGGCTCCGTCTGTAAGTGGAGTTGGTCTTACTGTGCCAGCGCCTTGGAAGCACCGGGGGTGGGGGTGGGGGTGGTTTACTATGCACACAGTTCCTCTTGCTTGTGTGTTTCTTGGTGGTCCTGTTTGATGTTACTAAATGCCTTTTTAGCTGGTCTGGAAACATTTTGAAAAATGAACTTGATGTGAATCATGTTTTTTCTCTTTTACATATTTGTCTAATGTAGCAAGTCTAGACTCTTAGGGGTTAATCTTAAGTGAGGACAGAAATGATTAAAATAAATAAATCCCTGATGATTTTGATTAAACTTTTTTTTTTTTTTTTTAAACTGAGAGCAGGGGCAAGTATTCCATTCCCCGAGGGCTGTGAAGACATGGTCGGAGGTCATGGGTGGGAACGAGTCAAAGTGCCCTGGGAGCCTACGTCTGTTTCTCTGTTCCCCAGACTGCCCTGGGCCAGCCCTGCCTGCGTGCAGCACGGAGGAGGACGGTGGCGCAGTGACAGGGGCCAGTATGGGACACCCGCCCCGCCCCGGCCTTTCCAGCAGCTCTGTCTCTAACCGCTCCTCAGCTTCCTGGTGCTCAGACGTGTGCAGTTTGGAGTCTGGCCCTGCAGGCCCTTCGGGGTGCAGCACGGGTCCGCCAGGGGGGTCCTGCAGACAGCCGGGTGTCGGGATGGCCCTGTGCCGGGCCCTGGGAGCGCAGACAATGCCGAGCGAGGCTGTGGACAGACGTCCTGGGGCAGGGTTTTGTGCCACACCCCGGACGAGGCACTGTGGGCCTTGTTGTGACACTGCACGCTCGAGACTGCTTCTCTCCTGCCGGGGTCCTGACACGCGCCGCTCCGTCGGCCCTCCCTGCGGCCGGGGGTTTGCAGACCCGGAAGCCTGGGCTGTGGGTGGGTGGCAGAGCTGGCTCCCACTGCTGGCCCCTGGGCTCGGCCCTCGCCCGGCTCCTC